AAATTAGTCTGACAGTTCATTTCATTGGTTTAGCTATATAATGCTGCAGAAAAAAAGGAAATCAATCGAATTGCTAATACATATTTTGATTAAACTGGGGTAACACATTGTAATTAAATCCATAGATTTTGATTTAAAGAATAAAATAAAATTCTACCTCTCTAAACTATGTGGCTTCTATTTATGAGATGCTGGAGTAAGAAAGTAATTCAGTAAGGAAAACCAAAATCAAGTCTAATTCAGTTTTCAGACAAAATATTTAGCTAAATTCAGTTTTAAAATATAAACGAAAAGAAAAATCATATGTTAATCTATCTTAAATATTGTCATCCTGTTTATCTTACTAGACAATGTATTTCCAAATAATAACAGCCAAATTATCTGACTCCTGGCACTATTGAAAAGTTGTTTCTGAATCAAATTGCAGAAACAACCCAAAAGCACAGGACGTAGTATTTTATAATACTATGAAAGAAAATTACTTTCTATTGTACCCATTGCACTTTAGGAGAAAGTAAAGATGGTAGATGTAATAGCAAACAAGTAATTTAGTGGTTGGAGTACACAATAAGAGAGGTATTCTTGGCACAGTCAATAGGTTGGTATATAAATAAGATATGTTTATATATATTACTCTATTTCTCTTTATACATGTATTTATGTAGGTCAATGTTACCTTTTAAAAACAGTTACAGATCATCTAGTGAAATACCACAATAAAGTCAGAATATACTACACTCAGTACATGATCAGAGTAAAATGTGATAAAATGGCTCTGATATCTGTTATTGAAAAATACAATAAAGGACATGAATAACAGTTACTAACACTATCATCTTCAGAATGAAAATGTGGCTAAGCATTTGAGCTGGACAATTTCTGCTATGAGCTTCTAGAAGTAGCTGCTCTTGAGCCTCATAGAAAACAGCATATTCAGAAGCACAGGAGAGTGTAGAGTGTATAGTATAGGAGAGTATTATTTTGTTCTGATTCAGTGAACGGATTTCTCCCTCTTAGCCAGCAAAACTTCTCGTTTCTTGGCTTTCTTGTTGGTCATTGTGGTTCCTAGCCCTTGACAGCAGACTGCCATTTTAAAAAGTTTCTTGACATCTTCTTATCTTTGATTTCACCTGTTCTCCTCAACTTCCAGCCTTTTTCTGTTTTACCTCTTACTGTATTTATTTCAGTTTCAACCACACCTTTTTGCTTTTCATTTTTGCTCTATCTTCTTTCACTTGTTCTCCTACATGGATTTCTTTCTTTCTTTTTTTTTTTTTTTAATGAAATACTACCTAAAATATTTAAGTTCAGTGTAAATCCTCACACCTTTGGCTTTATGGGTGATGTAGATCTCTGCTGCGAGGAAGCTTGTACTTATTTATGGGGTACTAAAAAGGTGCAGAGAGAGAAGCAGAAAGAATTTTTATAGTCACAGAGAGGCTAATTCTTGAATATTTGTATTGATTCTGTCTTGCTCAAAATAAAAGGTGAAAAGTTGGCAGAGGTACAGCAAAGAACCACAAGGCCTCAGAAAACATCATACAGTGTGAGACTTCAGAAGTGCAGTATGATTTAGCTGTTCAGAAAGAAGACTGAAAAGTAACTTGACAGTACATAAATATCTTCATGGCAAAAAAAACACTATCTACTAAAAAGCTCTTTGATCTTATGAAGGGCAATATCACTAGAACAAGATGCTGAGTACCAAAGTCAAATTCAAATGCAAATGGAAAATTCAATGCAGATTAGCCATGCTATTTCAACAGTAAGAACATCCGGTACTAGAAGAAATACAAACCAAACAGGGGCTTCAAATAATGTGTGGATGCCTTTGTGGAAGGTAAAATCCTGTCAACCTCTGAGCTCTTCTTTTTTTGATAGGAGGCATGTTTAATACAAACACATGTTATCAGGCAGTCAAAATCAGAGCTGGTGGTCTGCTTATCTCTTTGGCTTTGAAATCTATGAATCCCATGACATTCAGCAACCCAGTGGCCTCAGTTCTACTAATCTTGCCTGTGCATTTTTCTCCTGATTCCACAGTAATTGTGCAATGACCAGGTGTTTAATATAGAAGGTTCTTTTGAAGTACTCAGTTTATATTATTAACTGAAATCTCAAAACCTGCTTCCAAATCTGTGGCAAAGTAGAAAGCGTACCTCATATTGCTTACTAACTATAGAACTTACTAAGCCTTATTAGTTTATGAAGTTTCTTCCTTGTTAAGGTTTTGGGGACCAGGATCATTAGCAAAATTAGGCTCTGTTATTAATTCATCTCAGGAATTCTAATAATTACAAGTTTTGTGCTGCAGATAAGAAAACTGAGAGATATGAGGCTAGATGTTTTCAAGACATATGCTTCATCTCTCCTGCAGGAAAAGAAAAAAAAAGAAGACTGCAGCTGTATTAATGGAACAAGCACTGCTCCTGTATTGCCTATACTGTTTAACTGTTACAAGGCACGAAAGCTGAGCCACTAGAGAAGAGGTTTGGGATATTTTATTTGCTAATACAGACATAAGCCATAGAATCTAAGGCTATTTATATGAGACAATTTCATCCCCTAAGAACTGGATTAAAATACTTTTAATAAATAAATCTCTTTAATCAATCTGTTCAATCCTATCTTAAATGCCATTGCAGAATTCTGAATATGATACATAAATTGTTCTAGGGTTCAATATCTACACTTGCAACTAGAACTTAATGTAAGTTGAGCTTGAAGCTAACAACTTTTAGTCTTTGGAAACTCTATTATCCTCTGTCGGCAAAATTAAGACCTACCAAGAGCTTCTACTGTTCTTTGTCATGAGTAATTATCTATGTCTTCTCTCAACAGTTTCTGTTGTGTATGAAGGACTAAAGTGAAACCTGTAAATTTCATGTTTCAGGGGATCTTTTCTCATTCTAGAACACTTTGAAATCTTTCCAATATTCTTCTTGAAGTGGGAGCATCAGCTTTGAACACAGCAATGTCACAATAGTTTATAGTGAAATGTGCGCAGACACCTTTGACTTGATAGTCCTCCTCTTGTAAACATTGTATTATCCCATTTAACCATAGCACTGTGCCGAGAATCCCTGTTTAGGTAGTGATCTTCAATGACCTTATGTTCTTTCCTGAGTTGTCATTTTCAAAGGCAAGCTGTATTATGTAAGTACAAGGTGTATACTTTGTTTCCAGGTTTAGTAAACTGCACCTAGCTATATTAAAACAATTTCTCTTCTATCTGGTGATTTAGGGAGCTTTTGATTTGTCATCCTTTTTTCATACCTTAACAGACATTTTTTAGCTGCAAAGGCTTTGTAATATTACTTGTATGATCAATCAAAACATGGACAAACACCAGTCAGGAAGTAATTCCCTCTGAGAGATCTCTTTGCTTGTGGCCATTGCTGTCTTCCCACAAATGACAGCATTTTGACAACTGCTTGTAAGACAGTCCTTAATTCACCTAGTAGATCTGATTAATTCCGCATATTACATCACCAAAACAAATCAATTGAAAGATTCATGTATACTGTGTCAACATGCACCATTAAATAGCTTGTTTGCAAAAGATGCTGTGTATATTTAACATCAATTTAACAATCTTAAATTAATTGGGAGAGTTTACCTTTTCTGTTTATTCATTTTTTTTATTTGTTAAAATCTTCTCTGCATGGGATTAGAATAATGAGTATTATTCTGGGTATGCCAGTTGAAAATCCATAGTTCTAGGTGCATTGCAAATGTGGATAAAATTAATTTTGGTGATTTTTGCAATGGTAAAAAAATCATTAGATATACTCTTCCCTAACTCAAATCAGTAATTAGACTGAATATTTGTGAGTGTTTTCTGTGATTCAGTGAAAAATTCTAAGTTAAAAAGATTTTTTTAAATTAGTGATTAAAATAACACAGAACAAAACAGACGCAAAATATGTTGCTTTGGGTTTCTCTAATTTTAAGTACTTAAAACTTAATAAATGTGTTATTTATAACATATATAAATATTGATTAAAATCTCCCAGATAGGCTGTGGTTTAAGTAACGATATAAAGTATTTGTATACCTTTTACCCATATTTTTTCTACATATTTTAAAACCTGTGAAAGAACAAAGATTTACAGAAATATCTTGTATTTACAGCCAAATCCATGCTATACCCTTACTCCCACTACTGTCACAGATTCCATCCCCCTTTGCTACTTGTCAGATGTTTCGCTTTCCCTCAGTCTCGTTCCCAATGCTCTAAAGCACCATGTGATAGGAGATTTGTATATAGAAAGAGATACACATGCACACATGCATGCTAATAAACACCCATGCAAACATATACACACAATCACAATAAGGACTGTTCTATAAATTTGGGTAGCTTGCTTGAACTTAGGTATGCAAATGTCTTAAAAGTTAATGATTGCTAAATTGGTGAACAAATCATAGCTCATGATGCTCTGGGGTTTTAATATTTGTATTTAGCAATTGGTATCAGCAACCCTAACTACATATTAGCACATCATCTGCAGCTTTAGCAATCATAAAACAAACTGGAATTCAAATTTGATCATTGATTTTGTCTTTTGCTTAATGTTCATAGTTAATTACAAGGAATGGAGAGAAGATCCTGTTTTCTAGTAGCTGAAGTTCAACAAGAATATAATAAAATATTGTTATAGAAAAATTTTAACAATGACGTTTCTGGTAAAATCTCACTTCTTTCATTATGTTCTAACATAGCCAAAGCCATGTTATAGAGAATTAAGGTTCCATAATATTGAAGAATTATCAGAGTACATGGGATTCGTTATATCTTAATTTAAATGAAGACATAGTTGACTGTTTAGTGCTGATTTAAGAATGCACACTTGAAGCATCAATAACGAACAGCATGTGATTCCCTGTACTTCTATTCTGAGTGATTCATCTGTTAACTGTGCGGAATGAAAATTAAGAGAATGTGTTGTGACATACTATGTTCTTTGATGGAATGTTTTTTTTATTTGATATTGCAGCATTCTTTTGTGTGCAAGATTTTGGTGAACTTTCTTGAGCGGCCAGGGAGCCCTGAAGGCGTATCAGCTAACACAGTTTTTAAACCTGTAATTCAGCAGGTAGAACTGGTTTATCAGCCCTGGGAGCCAAATCAAAACAGGTCAGTTTCTCTACCTCTCTTTTTTTTTTTCTTAGTAGTAATAGAATTTTGTTGCCATTCTTGTGTTTGTAACTTCTTTTGCCACTGAGTTAAACTTTGCAAAAGGCAAGCTATTTAAGCAAGCTGCAAAATGTATTTATCAGCCTCTATGCCATCATTTTCAGATATATGTACTTTTTGTTGCATGTCATGTTAATAAGTGTTAGAAAATACCTTATAGGAAAAGATAGTAAATCCATTCTCTACCCATGTTCTGTTCACATGAAAATGTGAAATGGTTTTGCCTTACACCACCCAGACATTCCTGTTTTTTCAATAACAAAGAAAAAAAAATAAATGCAGAAAGCCAGATCCTAACCATAGAAAATGCCAACCACCTGCATCACAAACAAAATTTGGCAGGCGTGCATAGAAAACTGAGTGTCACTGAAGTCGACAGCAAAACCCCTGCTAATTTCAGCACTCAGGAGTTTGTACTGAGTGTGTAAAAGGTAAGCAAATTAACATGTATAACTTAAACTGAACACAGACAAGCTGATTTTTCAAGGAAATAAAAGGTACTGCTCTCAAAAACTGCAAAAGAAAATGAAAATTTTAAATTACTTTTCATATGCTGTCAAGTACAGGTTTCTGTAGCTTCCCATTTATCCTTTCTTTATATGGCTTTCGAAAGTCTACCAAACTTGTATCTGAAAAAAATCTGTGCAGTAAGGTAAGCATGAAGAGGACATGTTCAGAATCTTGCAAATGAGATGACTAATACGCATGAAACCAACGGACTCAATATCCTGAGGCATGAGCAAACTGTCACCACTGACTGGTGACTCAGAAGTGCAAATGCTTCCTTCAATCTAAAAAACATTAATGTGGGAGAAAGGCAGATGTTACTAAAGAATACAGGGCTTACTCTATGGCTGAAGATTAATTTCTCATCCTGAGCCTAATCAGAACTACAGGGAGAAAAAAAAAATAAAAATAAAAAGGCATATATGCTTCTGATTAAGTTGATTTCTGTGTTTGTTACTCCTATTGTATACGAGTTGTATTGCTGTGAACAATTTTCTTCACGCTGTTGCAGAGCTAAGAGCAGAACCAACCTGTTATCCACCACCTGTCTGGATATGGACAGTATGCACCTACAGACTTCAGCAATTAAGGTTTTTTACAGCTAGAAACTAGTTTAACTAAAACATGTATTTTTGTACCTCACCTACGTTACTTCAAGTTGTCTAATATGCTACCTATCATCAGTTTTTCATCAGGTAGATTTATTTTCTCTGACACAGAGCAAGTTTAATCGTCAGTGACCATTATTACAACTGCGAAATAAAGTAGCACAAGCTAAATGTGTAATGTTATTTCAGATCAAAATACACTTTGGCCAGTATTCCTCTTCCTTTGAGATATCATGCACATTTTCAATTGTTAACACATTTGCAAAATGTATTTGTGTCCTTGTTCAAAGAAAACTGCTGACTGAGAACTACCAGGAGTTTATCTTGTTGCCACTGATTTTATCCTCCTATTGCCTTTTACACAATTAGTACTGCATATTTTAAATCTGTCTGGAATATGCTCTATTTTATTGAACAATCTGCAAGCAACAGAGAAAAGTAACATAGCACTGTCACCACTTGGAACATAGTAGGCTGATAATTTTGCTCATAGCAGGATGCAGAAGAAACACATTACTTATTTTTTCGGAATGTGCTAAGTATAAAGATCTAAAAGGTGGGATTTAAGGCTATTGCTGAGGGGCAGATTGGTTACATGCAAAAACTGTTTACACAGAAACTATGTTGCAAAACTCCGTGTACAAGACTGTTTCTTGGGAAGAAGAAATATTTAATGGTCATTCTAAAGAACAGTCTTTATGAAATACAGTGATGGGGAAATCTCTGAAAATTCAAGCCAGATGTAATTTAGCAAATCAGTGTAGAACAACAAATATGCAGTCTAGAGTGAACCTGGAGTCTGAATATCAGAAAACATCCTGTTCTCCAATTTTATCAGGTGCTTTAATGAAAGATATTTCCCTACAAATAATGCCTATCATACCTTCTTACAATTTCACTCAACTCTAATTAAAAAAAAAAAAAAAAGCCATTTTGACAGCTCATTCCACCAGATGGAACTGTTCATAACACATTTTTAAATGTTCTTGTTCAGACATTAGCACATATATTATACACAGCATGCACAGTATGTATATGCTAAAAGTCCATCACTGAGACAAAACAACAGAGCTACTAAGCAGCCTGAATACTTTTTTCTAGGCAGTTTTAACTAAAAAAAATTGCTATAAGACCAAATTTTAGTTATAAATTCAATTACAGTAGAAACTGGCTATAATCAATGCATCCTGTTATATTCTTGTGTTTGTTATGAGGGGTTTGGAGGGTGTGGTTGTGGGGTTGGATTATTTGTTTTTGAGGTTTTGGTTTTGTTCCCCCAAGGAGCCTGATTGCTTCCTATTGATTGTCCTTTAAGGAGGCACTGACATTGATAACTGGCATTTTGGAGCAGGACATAAGTGATTAATGCTGGAAGAAGAAAATCTTATTTCTTATTATTCAAAATGCATAAATTTTTCTTGTAATGCAGTAGCTTTCTGGCCCTTTCCTATTGTGCTATGGAAATTCTTGCTCGATTATTGTGAAATCGCACAGCATACTTAACGCAAGCAAAGTACTAAGATTAAAAAAACTAATACTTAACAAATACTAAATAAAAAATAATATATAACTACTTATTAAAGAAAAATTATTGCACAATAAACAGTCTAGGTAAGAAAAGAACCCCCAGAGGTTAGTTGCCTCAGCTCAGACTGGGACTCTACATGTAGGATGACAGAAAGAACTTCTCTTAAGCTTTGCCCTCTGTAGCTCTCCCTTATGCTGAAGATGGACCTTTCTGAGCAACAGAGCTTCTAGCAGGCCTTTTTAGCAGGCCGTCACAAGTGTCAAAGCTCTGCTTGAACAAAATAGAGAATCAAGACTGTTTTGATCTCCATTTTTGTGTGTGTGTGTGTGTTGTGAAACCATTTAACTGTTAAGAAAAAAATGTAGACATCGAATTGTTGTGATTTCATTGGTAATAATTACATGTAGCAAACATACACACTAGCTTGTTTGAGAGAGTGACCTGAAAGATGCAATTTACACAACATGTGCAGACTGAAACAGTATATTCTTTGATTCTACAGATCGCTTAGGGAGATCTGGTATACAATGATTATCAGTTACTTACAACTAGGAGCTAATCATTCTTACATTTACCAAATGCCTTTTGTACAATTCCTGGGAAATGATGTTTTTTTTTCTGAACGTTTTGATGCATTCTCTTAATATTTTTTACAAACAACCATTTAAAAATGTATAATGCATCTCATAAAAATCTAGTCACTACTCTACAGAAACAAATTTTTGTAGTAGTATTTTATTTGCATAAAGCTGTGAATGACGGCATGATGAACAAACTCCATCTCCCAAAGATAAAGTGGATGAAAGTGAACTAAAAATCAATGGCTGCCTGTTTTTGTAGATCGCTCTATTTAGGTGCTTGCTGCTATAAGCCGACTGTGCGTAACTCTAAAAGGAATATTCCATGTTGACATGTGTTGTAAATGTATCCACAACCAGCGCAGATGGCATAAAATGCTTAATGTTGTTTTCAGATGACATGTCATGCTGTGGGAAGATATGGCTGGAATAAATACATTTTATTTTACCTTCTGACATTTTTCCATATGATTTAATTATTCAGAATATAATTTAAAAAAGAGCTTCAGTGTGAGATCTATTATATACTCATAATTGTAAATTCAATACTATGTCAAATATGCTTTTGAAAATAAATTTGCATGACAGGTAAATAATATAACATTTGGTTGCACTTAGTTTAGCTTATGTATTTTTCCCAGAGAAACAGGTGATTATGAGTTTACTTTTCCCTTCACCTACAGATTCCGAATAGTTTATGTAAGTGATTACTCAGATGTCAACATATAAGTTCACAAAATTATTCTTTCATTACCAGAGAAATAAAAGAGTGATTCTTCCCTATTTTGACTATGTCTTTTGATGATAAAAGAAAAAAACCTAACAATAGTTACATGCAGAAGTGGAAAGAAAAAAGGATAGATTCTGTGACAGCTCTGTGCAGATGCAGAGGAATCAAGTACAATAACCTTTTACATGCATTAGTCAAGAAATAGCACTGCACAGATACTTTTTTTTCTTAGTGCAGAACAAAGAGCCTGAGCTCGTGCATCACTGAATGTGAGGCAGCAGCTTCCCATCAGGGAATGGCTCTTGGGGAGGCCACAGGCAAAACAACGCAAACTGTAATTAGAATACTTTTCTCTCACATTCTGGGAATAAACAATCTTTTCATTGTTCATGTTTACACAATTAACAAAATGCTCAGCTGCATTGTAGTGACTATAGATGGTACAGTAGCAATACTGTTATAAATAATATATATGACAATGTAACTAAAGTTTTCTAATGCAGAAATCCCTTAAGCATTTTCAACCCCTTGAATTGCTCAAGCATGCATGTTCTGTATAGTATATGACTCAGATTCTATAATATCTTTTCTGCTTAAATATTTTCAATCAAATAATACTAAGTATGACCACGTTAAAAATATTTACCTTCTTATATTACTTTTTCAAAGATTTTGAACTTTATATTAGCTAATATATTGAGTGTAGTATAAAAAAAATATTAAATCTGCTTGTCTGACCTCACGTAATAGCTACAGAATTTCTCAAATTTATTTCAGTCCAATAAAAATATATCAGTAGCATTTTTATTCACTGCAATTATAATTACTTTATAGTCATGGAAGTCTTCGCATTTTAAGCTAGACCTCTGCAGTTGTTTTTCTTCCTTTCAAGCCCTATATACCTCTAAATTAATTATTTACTTCAAGAAACAAAACACATGGGGAAATTTAATACCTAATATCATTGCATAGCCTATTTATAAATGGATGTTATATTTCAGAAGTGAAAAACAAAGCTATTAATATTTTATTACTACTCTCGATTATACCTCTAATCTACTGTAGAAAGCAGATCTTCACTAGCTGTGGATGGTTAGGAGATCTAATACAAGTTGTCTGAGTTTTATTATTATCTTTAAATCACTATGTTTGGAATGCATGCTATCATAATATTAACATGTACCAGTATGATAACTAACACCATCTAATGTTAGATGACTAACAAAAAACTAATGGCAATTACATGATGTGGTCAAACTGCTGTAAAAGAAATACAAGTTTACTACTTGGACTTTATGTAAGAAGAGTACTGCTTCCATTGAATAAACAAAGGAAGAAAATAAAGACTTTACTTTTAAAATCTATACTACACATGAGAAGGAAAAATAAAGGTTCATATGCAAGAAAAGATTTAAATTATTTTGGTTACCTGCAGCATAGTACTTCTCCATGAGAAACCAACCAAGTATACTATCAGTAGTTTCTGTTCTAATAAAATTAGAAGGTACAGCTTCCTGACAAATCTGACTTTGCTAGAATCATGAGAATTTTTTAATCCATTACTCCCTAGTTCAGCTGTTTCCAGTGACAAACAGCCTTAGAACATGAAAAAAAAAAAAAAATCTGTTCTAATTTTTATGTATTTGTTTGTTTTTGAGCAAAATAGAACTTTTAGATGTCATGAGGTTCAACTGGGATTACAGAATTTCACAAAAGTACCTTGACTTCCTAGCCAAAGTTGCTAGACTTCTGGGCAGTTAAAATCAGGTGGTTTAAGCCTATGTTTCAGTAACTGAAAATGGAACTTGATTGTTAGATATTGGAAGCAATTCCTGAAGAAAAGAGGCCGTGGTTTATTTTCTCTTCAGCCTCCTCAAGCGTGGAGGTAAACCAGATATGTATGGGAGAAATGGCAGTTCAGTGCTTAATGGTGAAATTCATACAGAATCTCAGACAAGTTACTATGACCACATGCAAGGACATTTATCTGCCTCCTGAAATGACCAGAAGTAGTTAAGGCTAAATTTGGCCTCAAGCCTCCCTGATACACAGCATCTGAATGGCACAACCAGTATGAATAACGTAATTTTGAACCTGTAGATTTTTAACAGCAAATAGAAAGCAGACTTTTTTTTTTATGTTCATAGCGCTGTATAATATAATATATACATGAATATGTTTAGACACTGTTGCAAAGCAGAACAAAATTTAGGCTATGTAAGAAATAAAATTACCTTAAAGCTGCATGAAAAATGGGTCTTTTGAGTCTTCTTCTGGCCAAAAATCTAAAGATTGCCTTCCCTTTCGCCTTTTATCTCTCCAAACAAGCACATCTGGATCTTCTTGAAAAGATGTCATTGCAATAAAAATGGGGAAAATTATTATTTCCATCTTAGACATTTTAAACTATAGGGAACAAATGGACCTATGCCCTAGATATTTAACTTCACAAATTGGAAGGAGATGGTCACAGCTTCTCCTGTACCTAGGAAAATAGTAGAGAATCGTCCAGAATTCTGAAAAACTCAGGCTTTCTCATCAAATTGACAGGACTTCTATCTGCATTTCCTGCTTCCCACTGAAACTGCTCTGATCATTATATTATGTGTTAGCTTGTGTTTTATGCATTAGTTTGTGTTTTCTCAGTCACTCCTGTTAAATCTGGTTTGCATTGGCTATTTAAATGCTTGCTGACACAGATAACATGTAGGATATCCAACTCTAAACAAAAAAATACAAAATCTTGACACTCAAGTCCTTGCACTGAGAAATATTTAAGTTCTCTGTGCTTAGTGGAATAACACCTAAAGGAAAAAAAACTGAAAAAACATAGTCAGAAGATATACAGTATCCTACAGTTCAGATCTACTTTCTGTGTGCAGGGACAAATTCAAATCCACACCTGCCAGGTTTTGTTTGGTTCTTTAGCAAGTAGACTTTCAGGTTAAGGAGGATCACCTCCCTGCTAATTTTAGAATTAAGTTCCTTATTTATGAAGTCTTTCATATTTTTCTACTAAATCTAGTTAGCAAATTAACGCTTGCAAATAGTTTACAAATGACAAAAGCACTTCTTAAAATGTTCCCAGTACATGAACCGCTTTTCTTCGTAAGATTAACAACATTTCATACCATCTTTTATGCTCCAGGATCAATTCCATTCTCCCTAGTCAATGAGAGTCACTAATTTTGGCAGATATAAAATATTTTCTGTTTATATTAAAACCTACAGCATTTAGCACATAATCATGTATTTATTATACCATTTCAAGCAGAATTTAGAATCTACATCAAGTAAAACTCATGGGTTGGTTAGTGTTATTTATTCACCTTATTTTTTTTTGTCCATTACAAAGCACTTCAGGTACTTTGCAAATCAGCATGAAACCTACATAAGCCTCAACAGAATTTTGTATTGTCTTTAATTCTAGATGAGGAAAGGCTGATTACCCCACTTTAAGTATTTGCTGAGATGTTTGCATTCAAAACTCTGACCACTACTCTGGAGGCAAGACTATGTGGAAACAGAAACTAAAAATAACTATTTAAAAAAATAATTAAAATTGGATTTGTATTACTAATATTTAGTTGTGAATTATAAACCAGTTTAATAGATAAGAATGAAAACCACTATCTTTTCCTAAGTAATGTAATTTATAACTGTAGCACACTTTGAACTTGTGGACATCATCTCAGAGAACCCCAAAAGAATTTAAAAATTTAGATATACAGTGTAGCTCTTATAAACCAAAAACTGGACAGTAACATGTAGCAGCCAGATAGACACAGCTTCATATTCTTTATGCTCCAGCACAGACCCAAAGCTTTGGCTACAGTATCAAATCAAGATTTATTTCTTATTTAAGTTCATGGAATCTTCAATTTTCATTTGGAGTAAATACAACTCCAGTCTCTAATGTTTTGTCCAAGTACAGAGAAAACTGCGTGCAGTTTAACTACGTTTTCTTGGAAGAAGTACAGAGTCAATCATTTCATTATTGAACCTGTGGTTTCCTGCAGTTTGGCAGAAAGGATGCCTCTTTATTTTCAAATTATTATTGATTTAAGGAATAGTTCAGATTACACTCTGATAAG